AGGAGGAGGAGGAGGAGGAGGAGGAGGGGGGGGAGAGGGGGGGCGCGCGGAACCTGGGCGCGACCGAGTCGGAAACGCAGGGCTACACAGAAGGACAAGGCCAGGCTGCTCACGCAGATAGCCCCGCTTCCTCGCTCTGACGACGGCATGAAACTCACTCATCAAACGAGGGCACAAAGGTTTGGAGGGGGGCCATCCATATATTGGCGGTCACTGCCAATACCAGGCGGCATGGTCAGCGACCCGACGCCCCCCCCTCCCAGTACATCATGGAATAACCTCCCCCGTGTTAGGGTGAAGGCCACGAGCGGCATATTTAATGTTGTGGATCTGGGCATGTCTACTGCTCGGGCGGGCGCTACGCCCTTGGCACACTGCCAACAGACCACGAGCATTCCCTTCAGGCATCACACAGAAGGCCAAGCATTTAGCGCAGAACACAACGGAGGCGCCCCCCAGGACATCCTCGGCCGCCCTGGGGGCCGCCAGCACCGACTGGGTGACCACGGGCACAGCTTCGGAGCCAAACTGGCCCAAGAACACACGGCGCCTTCCACCTAGACATGATCATGGGGGCACAACCCCGCCTGCTTCCCGATCGCAGCTGCAACAAGAAGGCTTCCGCGCGAGCAAACAAATCACATGACTTGCACCTCCACTCGCCTCTACTGGGGAAGTGGTGCAGACCATGCTCGGACAGGACCGCTGTACCCTGAACTCAAACGACCCGCGGAAACCTGGCCAGGGACGGGGTCGAGTCGCTCTCTTCCACCAGGGCAACCGCCGACTGGACAAAACAACTTAAAACATCAAACTTCCGTCGAATGAACGCTAGCTGACCATCTCAAACTCCTCCAAGGTTCGAGCCGCGGCCATTGAGTCGGCACCTACACGAGCGAACAGATCCGCCCAACTTTCTACCGATGAAACATTCAGAGTCGAATTCAGAAGCCCCGCTCTAGACAAAACCGGACCAATCGTAATGGGCGGGGGCCCCAACAAAACTGGGCCGCTTACATCCCGACCTATATAGCTCAAATATCTTCCTCCACGTGGATGCGTGCGGTGACGAGCCCAACGCAAGCTGGGGGCACCAACTGTTACCCTCTGTCACCGCGCTCATCTGGTCAGACACTACCTGGGCGTCTGGCGGGCCGCACCTAAGAGCCTGATAGACGGCGCAACGCTCGGCCCTGGGAACGAACTGCACCCGCCCAGGGAGGGCCTCGTAGACCGCTCGAACGGGGGGCCCACGAGGGCCCAGCTCCACGGCGGCCCATCCACACCTACGTAACTCAGGGCTGTCGTTGGCCAGCCCCGAACCGCCTGTGAAGATGCGCCCTCCGAAAGGCCCGCGGGCGCGGCCCCTCGAGCAAACGGGGCAGTCATCAGGCGCAGGGGGGATTGGAACTTCCACCAGGAAAAAGCCGTGCGCGAACTCAACCGCGCCCCAGTCGGCCTCGCCAAGGCCTGTCTCCCCTTTCTTCCGAAGGCGCGCCCGCATCTCCAAGACGCCCCCAGGATAAAACATCCCCTGGCTCCGCGGGCAGTCCAAGACCCCTTCGCAATCATAAAGTCGGCGGCGCAGGGCCCCGCGAAAGCCAGAGGAACAAGGGGTACACTTATCGTCGCTTGATAGGCCAGCTTGCGTTTTCTAACAGGGGGCCACAGGGGGCATCCAACAATGCACCTAGCAGCCCCCTGTCGCTTAATATCAGACTGGCTAAGGACTCCATGGCGCAGACCTCTCGCCCACGCAACCTCGGCACCACTAGCTTCAGGCACGTGTGGTAAGATCCGGGTCGCTTGCCATCTCGGGGCCCCTCGCCTCAGCAACTCTCGGAGATCGTGGGGAGAGACGCGGAGGGGCGAGTAGGAGCTGCCGAGGTCATCTACAACGGTACACGCAGACGTCATCGCCCATCCTATTCGGCACAAGGATCAATACACAGCAGAAATCGGGCCTTTGCACCTGTGCCACGCCATCCTAGCCCGCAGTTGGACACGCACGTTCGACCACGCACGCTGCAGCAGGCCAAGACAAATCATACTATCCCAGATCGCCGACGCATACCGCATCAGCAAGGGGATTGTGGCATCGCACGCTGGGTCGAAATATCGGTCCTTCTGAGTGGCCAGCCACGAGGTGAGAGCGCCGGCCCTCTTCGCGCCCACGAAAGTTCCAACCAAAGCGCGGAGGAACATCAGCGCGCAATCAGTCTGGCCACTCACCCCAGCCCCGTGGGCCCCCGCTGGCAAAAGACCCGTCCTCCAGAGCGCGCCAACCTTAGTAGGGGCCCCTCTGCGTAGGGCTTGGAGCATAGGCCGCCGACTCAAAAATTCATTCAATCGAGACTGCTCCTGCACTCTCAACGGTCGGCCACTGAACGCTTCGCGTCCGAGGCTACGCATGCGCTTCTTGCCAGGGGGCCCCATGACACGAGCCAGAGGGGCGAGCTTAGCAGCAACACGGACCGTCGAGGAAACGAACCCGCTGGTTGAAACCTCCAGGACCAGTCCCAGACGGAAAACCCTACGGCAAAACCAGGTCACGGCCCCCTGCAGCGGTCCTGAGTCCCGAAGAGAATCACCAATCCATTGAAAAATACAATCGCCCATGAGGACACGGGGCTTCACATCTCGAGTACAGAGGCGGGGAACAACGCGCTGGAGTAACAACTGCACGAGTGTTTGCATGGCTGCAGCCCGCAAGTATCCCCTCGTAGCTGATCGGTTCCCTGGAGAGAGAAGCGAACGCCTGGACAGACCTGGCGCAGCGATAAAGCGCCAAAAGCATCCAGATCATCCTCCGGGGATACTCCAAAACACGGGCCTCGTCAAGCAGCATACTTACTATGATACATTCGTAACATTTGAACAAATCTACAAACACTGGCATCGCATGCCCACCTACTGAAATAGCTGCTTCAGCTCCCAAGTTGTGCGAGAACGCTGCATCCGACGACGACGGCGCAGGATCAAAACCCCAGAAAGCTGGGCTCTTATTTTGCGCTTGCCACGCGGCCGACACTGGGCGTCTTAAGCGCCCCCATATCCTGGCGAGGCTGTTGAGCAGCGCGATGAGCCTGTGCCCACCATCAGGGCGGCCCAAGATGACCGATCTGGCGAGGACACGATCGAGCGGCCAGCACAGCAACCTTTCGCAAGCACGAAAGAGCTCACCCATGGCCGTCAGCCCATCGTCCGATGCCACTTCGAGTGACCGAGGGCGTAGACGCAATTGTCCGAGCGCTGTCTTGATCGGGAAGCTGCGGATCACATTTCGGATATCGCCGACATCGAAGTTGGGCAATTTATCCCATTCGCTTGCAGCCGAAGGACAATCAAACCCCGTACAATTGTGCATCGCCCATATATACTGCCAGCTGTCTATGCAATCGTCTGCCTGTTGGTACGGCTGGCAATGGTCAGTGCCCACGGCGACCTCCTGCCGCTCACGCAGACGTCTGAGCCTATGGGCGCGCGCAGCATCACCAGCGAACGCGTCGTTGGCCCACCTGGCCCACGAAAAAGAGGCACTCTCAGCATGCGCGGCCATCTTGCCATCCACTATGTCCAAGAAGCCCTGCGCGCGCTCGCAAAATTCAACCTCTGCGAACCTAGCTACGACGTCCGAGAAGAAGTCCTTCGCATCATCAGAGATATGGTGCAGCACCCAACCTCCGCGACGAATCCTCCCCACGAGCCCGCCGAGGTCGCGCAGAATCTTCGCGATGTAGTCCACGCCGCGATTGCAGGCAATCAGAAGGGCTTGCAACCTGCACCCAACTCCGCGCAGGCGTCGGATCCAGCGGCCGAACACTCACCGCGCCTCAGCGCCGCCAAGCATGGGGGGGCTGCTTGATCTGAACCACCCCCCACTCATAATTAATGGCACCTGCTCGCCCGTGATGCCTTCCCCTCTCGTCCGCATCCATGATGTCGGCGCGATCAAGCATCTCGGCCTCCAGCCCTGCCAACACTTCATCCCAACACTCGGCTAAGTCAGTGGCGCTGGAAGCCCTGCCCATCCTTGTGCGAGCCCAGGCCCACTCCGCAAATGGAGGTAACCGACTATATCCAGGATTGAAAATGACTGGGAAATGTGCTGGTTCAACTGCAACACGCTTATACATCACCACAAGCATCGCACGGAACGGCACCCATACGGGCAAGTGGGGGAAGGTGTCGACGTGCTCGTCCACTGTCGGAGTATCCGTATACACGCACAGGGACTCACTCACAAAGAAGAAGCCCCGCGTTGTCCCTGGCGCCGCCTGGGGCATGTCGGTTCCTCAGTTGCCTTCAATACGCCGCAGACTGCGTGGAGCCAGGCCGCGACCTCCTCAGGATCCACATTGAAATCGCCCCCGACAATCCACGGCTCCGCCTCCTCCTCCTCCTCCTCCTCCTCCGCCTCCTCCGCCTCCTCCTCCTCCTCCTACTCCTCCTCCTCCTCCTCCTCCTCCTCCTCCTCCTCCTCCTCCTCCTCCTCCTCCTCCTCCTCTCTCCTCCTCCGCCTCCTCTTCCTCCTCCTCCTTCTCCTCCTCCTCTTCCTCCTCCTCCTCCTGTTCCTGTTCCTCCTCCTCCTCCTCCTTCTCCTCCTCCTCCTCCTCGTCCTCGTCCTCCTCTATTCTCTCAACCCACAGAGTACACGGGTGCCTACTGGAACGCGTGCCAGGAGCCTTTTTGGAAGCATTGTGGCAGTCTCTGGAGCCTCACCGGGCCTTCCTTTGGAGTCCTGTGGGGCCTTTGCTGGCCCGTCTAAGGGCCAAATTCGGCCGTTCTGGGTCCCTTTTGGCTCGTCGTGGGGAGCTCAGCCCGTAGGAATCATCTGGTGGTCCCCTCGGGCTTCCTGGGGGTTCTCTTGGGCCGTCTTGTAGCTCTTCTGTGCCGCTTGAAGCTCTGTTCAGCCCATCATGGAAACCTCTTTGGGGCCTCTGGCGCCGTCTGGGGCCCGTGTTTTTGTTGTCTTAGTTTGCTTCGTCATGTTTTTTTTATTTGCCGCACTTTCAGGCAACCAGGGAGCAAGTCAGTTACCAGAAGGCGAAGCAGTCGATGCGCCAAATGCGCGCCAACCGCGAGCTGCGCCAAACGCGCGCTGATAATGAAAACGCGGTAAGTTGGGTGTATAAAATCCCCGCCTCGGAAGATAGTGCGAGGGAGCAGAACGATCCAAAAAGCAAGTGGGCATCTCAGTTCTTGTCGCAGAAGACCACAATCCAGCGCTGTACATGAGCTGCTACCTTGGGCTGCAGCTCGCTGGATACTGCTGCGTGAAAGGCGCTGCTACCCTGGGCTGCAGCGCCATGCAATTAGATACCCCAGCATTACTTATCCCACACGGCACTTGAACGAGAGATGGACATGCTTGGTTCGCGCATGAGTTTCTGTCCTGAATCCTGAATTGATGATGGAGCCATGTTCCGTAATCACTCTGCACTGTGAGACCCGGGCGAGAGAAGACTCACAGCGTCATGATGTCTTTGCAACCCTTGTCTGGGGTGGTGGCCGCCGTGTGGTCGTCCTCCCCGAGGAGGCCACCCACTGGGACCTTTGTATTGTGCAGCCCCTTCATGAAGATATTGAGGTATTTCGTGTTCTGGGCTGTGCGGCCATGCGCAATTTTGACCTTGACCACATTGTGGAAGGTCACCCATGTTGGTTTGGCCAGCCTCGTAGCCTCGGCGTCCCAACGCAAGCCCGTTGCCCTGTGACGACGAGCCCACGTGCCGCTGATGTTGACCTCCGTAAAGTATAGATCAGCGCACCCACGCCCAGCGCGACTCGCCCTCGCCTCCACGAGGAAATCCGCCGACCCCTTGGGGATCATCGGCGTGTGAGATGCTTCCCCCTCCCCAAACCCCTCCCCCGGGAACCCGGTCCGGTCGATTTGGAGGGGGGGGGGGTCCGGCGCGAGCGGGGGGGGTCCGGGACGAGCGACTCACGGGGCTTTTCCGGGCCCGAGAGGGCCTCAAGACGGGCCAAGAAGCCCCCAAGAGGCCTCCAAGACGGCCCACGAAGGCTCCGAGACGCCAAACGACCGGTCCAAGACGCCCACGATGGCCCCAAGACGGGCCAAGAGGTCTCCAAGACGGCCTCCGAGGTCCCAAACAAGCCTCCCAAGAGGGCCCAAAGAGTCTAAAATTGATGATTGTCCCTAGTGTTTTTCGACGTTTCTTGCTTTCCCGCCTTTCCAGCTTCCCGACGCTCCAAGACGGCCAAAGAGGCCCCAAAGATAGCCCCAAGATGGCCCAAGAGGCCCCCAAGACGGCCTCCAGACGGCCCAAGACGGCCCCAAGACGGCCCAAGAGGTCCCCAAGACGGCCCAAGAGGGCCGATTTGGAGGGGGGGAGGGGGCCGGGACGAGCGCAGCACGGCCGGGACGAGCGGTTCCAAGGCTTTTCCGGGCCCAAGAGGGCCTCAAGACGGGCCAAGAAGCCCCCAAGAGGCCTCCAAGACGGCCCACGAAGGCTCCGAGACGCCAAACGACCGCTCCAAGACGCCCACGATGGCCCCAAGACGGGCCAAAAGGTCTCCAAGACGGCCCCCGAGGCCCCAAACAAGCCTCCCAAGAGGGCCCAAAGAGTCTAAAATTGTTGATTTTCCAAAGTGTTTTTCGACGTTTTTTGCTTCTCCGCCTTTCCGGCTTTCCGACGCTCCAAGACGGGCAAAAAGGCTCCAAAGATAGCCCCAAAATGGCCCAAGAGGCCCCCAAGACGGCCTCCAGACGGCCCAAGACGGCCCCAAGACGGCCCAAGAGGTCCCCAAGACGGCCCAAGAGGGCCGATTTGGAGGGGGGGAGGGGGCCGGGACGAGCGCAGCACGGCCGGGACGAGCGGTTCCAGGGCTTTTCCGGGCCCAAGAGGGCCTCAAGACGGGCCAAGAAGCCCCCAAGAGGCCTCCAAGACGGCCCACGAAGGCTTCGAGACGCCAAACGACCCCTCCAAGACGCCCAAGATGGCCCCAAGACGGGCCAAGAGGTCACCAAGACGGCCCCCGAGGTCCCAAACAAGCCTCCCAAGAGCGCCCCAAGAGTCTAAAATTGTTGATTTTCCATTGTGTTTTTCGATGCTTTTTGTTTTTCCGCCTTTCCGGCTTCCCGACGCTCCAAGACGGGCGACGAGGCCCCAAAGATAGCCCCAAGATGGCCCAAGAGGCTCCCATGACGGCCTCCAGACGGCCCAGCCCCGCACGCGGCAACTTGAATGAAAGGACCCAAAACCCGAGTATACGCGCGGTTCCCCGCGAACATTGGGCACGTCCCTCATAGATTTCGTGGCTCCACGGCGCGCTCCAACCATAGCCCCAGTACCCGCGGTCCCGTAAACTTCCAACCCCAAGCGCACACACACGTCGATCGTGTCGTGGCTCCAGAATACGTCCACCGTGGGGCCCAGTGGGAAGATTCGCATGCAAGTATACCCCATGCCGGCACACCCTTTGCACGCGCCGTGGCCTCGCACATGGCCAAGTTGACCCATAATGACTCCTGGACAGTCCCCCAAAAAAACTCCCGACCGCTACCGAAACGGCTCGAAGACATTCCCGAGCCCAACCTGGCTCCATTATGCCTCTCAGATGGCCCCAGATGAGACCACGACCGCCCGCGGTGTCGCCGTCCGCTCGGACACCCCCGCGGAACTGCCCGAGACCCTCTGGCAGTGGCGGCGAACAGACACCAAACAAATATCACTCGCCTTTTCACCCCTTCGCAGCTTCTACTGCCCCCCGATTGGCATAAACAAGGGGTCGGCGGTGTGGCGTAAGCCTAAGAATCAATCCGATGCCGCTCCCACCTGGGAATTTGGACTAAAGTGTGGTGCCCAGCCTGAAGCAGGTCAAACTTCTGGCCGAGCGTGTTGGCGAGATGCGGGTCGCCGATGCCCTTAACCATGGGGCCGCTGTTGATGGGCGGTGCCGCTGGTGCAGACGTCGGGCTGGTCGTGGGGGACGCGGTCGGACTGGAGGTTGGGCTGCTCGTCGGGTCAGGCGTCGGGTTGGGCGTCGGGTTCGGCGTGGGGTAGGGTGTCGGGTAGGGCGTCGGGTAGGGCGTCGGGTAGGGCGTCCGTCGGGTAGGGCGTCGGATAGGGCGTCGGGGACGGCGTCGTCGCACAAATAGAAGTTGAGTATATAGCAACGTCTGCGTCTCGCGCCGTGTATACGCTGCCTGTCCACGTTGGACACGAATTGCCGCATCCCGCCTGGCCAACGCCCGCATAGGAAGCGCGCCACATACTGCTGGAAAGGGTACCCCCATTGGGCGCCGGCATGCCCATGGACACCAAGATATGATTCAATTGCGTCCCGATGTTCCCTGAATTCCCATACCAGAATTGAAACGGTTCGTCGTTTGTAGCGATCGCAACTATCGTGCCACCAGCAATGCCATTAAGGTGATTTTTGAGCGAGGTCAGATCTGTCCACATGAAGAAATTATGCCCTGCACGAGTGGACACCAGGATGCCGCGATAGCCCGATAGGTGGCTGTAAGTAGCGTCCCCGTTGCCCATGCCCGTGATGATCGCACACCCGCATTCACAGGACGCTCCCCTGCTAGGCTGCTCACAGGCTTCCGCCCTCGCCGTGACAGACAGGCACTGCAGGTGCATGTACACGTGAGTCACGCAACTGCTACCTCCGTCGGCACAAGTGCTGTAAAGTGACGGCGTGGAAATGATCGACGTCTCTGAATGTAACCAACAATGGTTGCCATCTTCTACGGAGAAGAACAAGTAGCCCCTTGCTTTCGCGAGACTCGCGCAAGAGGCTTGGCTATACGGTCTGCCGATGCTGGCGCTCGTTGACCACACACGCGGGCAATTGTCCCAACATCCAACGGACCTATAACTCCACCAGTTTGCGCTCGAAGACGCTGAAGCCTCCGATGCCGACTCCATCTCTGCCTCCATGCGCGACATCATGGAACCATGCTGCACATCAATGGCGCCCACGGTGGTCAATGATACCACTGGCCACATGAATGTGAACGCTGCCCGGGCCTTCATCTCGCACGAGAGGAGACCGCGCGCGTAAAGTATCAGGGTAAGGCCGAATATGGGATGCGACTGGCCTGCGCGAGCCAATGTGTTAGACTACGGAAGCGTGGCTTTCAGATGAGCCCCCGGGTGGCTCCAACGTTGCCCATACTTGCCCAAGACGGCCCAAAAAGAGGTGCCAATATGAACAACATTTGGTTGGGGGATAGCCGCGGACGCTCAAAATGGCCCTAACAGGCTCCAAGATGGCTCCGCAAACGGCCTCCGAGCAACGTTGGCCTGGCAGGAGGACCGCGCGGATTTATTGGATCGGCGCTGGACCTCCCTGGCGCGCGGAGTGCGCAAGGGGCGGCGCCAGAGGCGCCGACGAGGGACCCAGCACAGATCCAAGAAATCGGGGAGGAGCACCGGAGGTTCATGCCAATGCCGCTACTCTTCGTTGGAGCAGGGGCGTCTTATGCACGAGAGCGCAGCGGTCCTGCGCGGCGGCTCACGCGGAGCCGCCGGCGCGGCACGCCTGCGTGGATGACAGGTGTGTCGAAAGTGTGGGTTATGCAATGCTATGCCAAGCCTAAACATTAGGGGGCCTGGTTGAGCGTTGCTTGCCATGTGGTAAAGCTTTGGTTGTGCTGTGGTTGAGCTATGGTTGAGTTTTGTTTGCGCTTCGGCTGAGGTATGCTTCAGCTATGTGTGAGCTCTGTGTGAGCTTTGTTTGAGTTTTTGGGAGCATTGGTTGATCTTTGTCTGCACGCTGTTTGCGCTTTCTTTGAGCCTTGCTTAAGCTTGCGTCGACGACGGCGACGGATGCGGCGACTGCAACGGCGACGGCGATGGTGACGGCTACGGTCACACTGTTATGATGAGCGCGACCAAGTCGGAGGCGCAGGGCTACACAGAAGGACAAGGCCAGGCTGCTCACGGAGCTAGCCCCGCTTCCTCACTCTGACGACGGCATACAACCCACTCATCAAACGAGGGCACAAGGGTTTGGAGGGAGGTCATCCATATTTTTGCGGTCACTGCCATTGCCAGGCGGCATGGTCAGCGACCCGACAGGCCTCCCTCCCCAGTACATCATGGAATCGCCTCCCCTGTCTTAGGGTGAAGGCCACGAGCAGCATCTTTATGTTTGTGGATCTGGACATTTCTAATGCTCGGATGGGCGCTACGCCCTTTGCACACTGCCAACAGACCACGAGCATTTACTCCAGGCATCACACAGAGGGCCGAGCATTTAGCGCAGAACACAACCTCTCCGCATTGTTCGACTTCATGCTGAAAATTCCGTACCTAGGCTCTGCCTAGAAGGGTTCTTCCTGGCTGGGCTTAAAAGGCCGGGCAATTGAAATCGCCCCGGGCGGTTCCCCCGGCATCCGCCCCGTGGTTCCCCCAGTTACGACCCCATAGCTTAGCGTTGCATGTCTCATCTTAGCTTAGCCTATTGCATCGTGGCTTAGCTTAGCTT